TAAATTTAACAAGAAGCTCTTTATGTACCGATTGCCAATTATCTTCAGTATAAAGAAGCATATTTTTAAACTATGGTGAAATAACTTTCGAGGTTTATTTAATTATATTCAATTATTTTCATTTAATTTTCACAACACACTATTTTTCCTTTATGCTAGCAAATTTATTTTAACTCTTTGAGGGGCCAGAAATTCCTAAATTTATATATTGGACATTTCCTAGAAAATTATAATAATGCCCCAATAGGCATGTTTAAAAGGTGGGACAAAGCGTGTCCCACCACCCCTCAAAGAGTAAAGCAATCAATTTATATTCATCCCAAGTTAAAATTGTATAAGATAAACAAAATATTATTAGAAGTTGATCAAATTATTATTATAAATAAATATTTTCTTTACAAATTATAGATTCTACCAATTTCGCCAATATATAATCAAATTTAATTTATATACAATTTCTATAAAAAAATATTTATTTTTGTATTAAACTTATGTCATATTCTATTAGTTATATTCAGAAATATTATTCATATTAGGTATATTAGCTCCAGATAAAAAATAAATAATTAAGTTTCATTAATTTATGTTTCTTACATATATATACAATAACAAAAACAAACTGCAACAGTGTTCCGGTATGTCTTTGCCAGGTATTGAGTGAGCTTGTACTTATTTTTTATATTTGTATAGTAGTTGTATATTATTTGTTAATTTGTTTATTTCTTTGCTTTCATCTGGAAAGTCGTTATATTCTTGCAATTTCTTTAACTTGATATTATTAAGGCCATTAGTTTTGTTTTTCCATCCGAATGTTAAGAAGATTGAGTCCATAATCTTGTTGACATTCGGATAAACTTAAAAACATTTATAAATATATAAAATATTTAGTTATGCTTTTAGATAATTAACTTTGAAAAATACACAAAATTCAAGAAAAAATATTTAAAATAACTATATTTTAATATAAGATAAACTAAAGATAAACTAACAATAAAAATATGTTTCGTTTTATAAACATGCTATATTTAAATATCCTATTTGAACTTCAAAATCATGTGAGTAAATATCGCAACAAATCAATTATTGCTAAAAACCCGAAATCACATTATTTTATGTCGTAAGTTAAATAGTACAAATAAAATTTATCAATTTTAAATCTTGTATTAATTTACTAAAAAAATATCTTCTGTCATCTTCTTCATCTTCTTAATTAAACTGAATTTATTTATTAATAGTACAGTGGAACTTTGCTTAATGAGCAAAATAAATTGTAAGAAAAATGACTCCACGTATATTACATTAGTTTATATGGGGGAAATTGTTTCGCTATACTAGTAAAAATCTGAAAATTTTGGAACGGATTATGTTCGTTAAGCGAGGTTCCACTGTAGTTTATTATTTGAACTCTTTGTAAATTAATTATCTAGAAAATATCCAGAAAAAAGGAATTACCACCTTCTAATCATCCAATTCATTAAAAGTATGTATAGATTGTTTAAGCATATCATTTTTTTTTTGTTACAAATACATTTTACTTGGGTCTAGAAATTTACGAATTTCTGGCTCTTCAAAGATGCAAAATATAAATAATTTAAATATGATGTAAGAATAAATCGATTCATTTTCACTTTTCATACGAAAATTTAAATTATACAATACATTCTCATATGAGTCTTATAACATTTATTGATTTGTTTGAAATTTATAATCATAATATTTATTCCCATTCTGTTATGTAATATATAATCAAATATAATTTGATATAAATAATTATATATTGCAATTGAATAAATAAATCGAATCTATTTTTATAGTAAGAAATGTAAATAATAAATCAATAAAAATATCGCTTAATTTAATTTTTATTTCAGAACAAAAAAATTTAAAGAACTAGGGCTTAATAGAGAATAAGTAACAAGTTTAAATAATGAAATATTTAAAAAAAAATCCATAATGAGTCCTAATATTTTCGTAACCAAAGAAATAAACTAATATAATTATCATTATTTTCTTATAATTAAATAATTGCTGTCACACTTAACAATAATTAAAAAAAATATTCATAGACAGCTCTATTTGCTAAAAACTAAGTATAAGGTATAAAAAGAGTAATAGAAATCAATGAGTATAACAAGTGGTTGAATTGATCAACAAGTTTGTATATGATTTAAACTAGATTGTTATCTTTATACAAAGAAATCTAAAATATATTAAATTTCTTAATTTTTATTAATTTAGTATAAAATATTGGTTAGAAGTGATTTATTTTTGAAAAAAAAAATTTTTTTTTTTGCTTAACAATTTGAAGTTATTTTAATGTTTTATTCTATAAGAAAATTAATAAATGTGTATTTATACAAGTTCAATTATAAATAAAATTTATCCAATTAATCTACACTACACTAAAATCTAAAGAAACACTTCGTAATCAGTAATTACCGAAATAGGATCTTCAGTAATTACGAAATAGCCATTTGATTGACGTTTTAATTAATCGAAGTTAAGCTTCAAACGAACGTTTCAAAAAAAAATGTTGTGATCTTTTGTGAATGGTATTTATAGAGATCTGGTTCAACCTGTAGACATAGTATATCTACTAATGGCCCACTGATTATAATCATCTGTTGGTCCGGGCAATTTGCCTCAGTTGATGATTAAATGGATTCAGTTCAAATTTGACAGCTTGACGCGCTAAACGGTCCACGCGTCTCAAAAAGAATGATTAACCGTATTTTAAAAATACAACATTTTAATGGAAATAATCAACGTTTTTATTATTTATTTAATCATTTACCCTAATTTACTGAATGTTTTTCTTATAAAATTTATTAGGAATAATTTTTTATCATTATATTTGAAAATACGTGGAGTTATGTATCATTAAAGTATAAATTAAGCACACTTTTTATTTATCACATGGATCGTTCTGAGTCTTTTATAAAGGACAAATGCGGATCTATTTGTTTTTTCTTTATTAAAATAATTTGTTTCTTTGTTTTTTTTATATAACCTAATTACAAATACAAACCGTTTACTATAATCACGCAATTTAAAATATATAATTATGTAAATTATAGTTTTAGATATTTCTTCCATAATAAATGTATAGAAATGTAAAGAAATAAATTGTTAAATAAAAAATTCTAAGCGTTTTATCCAATACATCTTTTTGAGACCAGCCTAATGCAAATGGTTCCAAACGGTTTTCTGGCTAATCTTTAGTTCCTGGGCAATAGAATAAGTGCTCGCATATTAGTCCAACTCGATGATTTCCATGATTTTATCAACCCAGAAATTGGCCAACCAGAAATATCTCATCTTCGACGTCCATATTGCATTCGATACTGTATTGAGTCCATAAACAACACTATTTTTTTTGGCCGCCTGCTTCACTTTTCCCCTTGGTCGCAGTGTTACAGAAGAATGTATCAAATTTTCTCTTTTTTTACCTCCATTTTGCAACGCTCTAACACAACTGGATTCTTTAAACACAAAACTATCAAATAACTTTTTTTTAAATCGTTATGTCGCCTTTAAGTCGCAGTATAGAATGATAAGATGTAACGTATATATCGTGCACTAAAGCCATGTAACGAAAAACGCTCAGAAATTTTTACTTCATCTATAATCTATAATCAGTTTACTAGACACATTTAAAATAAAGTAAAATAGACTCAAAAGTTACAAATTCAAAGCTGTTATATATATTTTGTCATAATAATTGATATAAAATCGTAAAATAGTAATAAGATAATTTTAATTTTTAGTTAAATTATTTATTGTAGTTCAAGTAACTGTTGTTATAAATTTATTTTAGTTTATTTCAATTATTTTTAAATAAAGCAAATTTGGTCTGGTGGCTAATAAATATGTTTAAATAATGACAACAATAAAATATATTTGATAATAAAATTATTAAGAAAAAAAACGATTTTTTTTACATATTATATTACACTTTGATACACAATAATACCTAAGATTGAAATATTTTATGATCAAAGAACAATGAAAAAAAAATCTTAATAACTAAGTCGAATGACTTGTGGTCAATAGCCATATTTATGTTTAACTGTTTCAATAAATGCTATTATTATTATTAATAATAACAAATTATCAAGTGCTAAATTAATTTCAATGTTTGTAAATTATATGTTTTATAAATATTCGTAAAATACCAGTTGAAACATTGTTATAAAGTGTTTCGCATGTAACATATAATCTACATCATTGGTATTTCAGTAGAGTACATGCACGTATTTGCAAATGCTCGTTATGCAGATAATGGAAAATCGAAGCGAACGAACGATGCATTTTAATGTTGGGAACTTTCTACTTTCAAATATACTTCACGTCAGTAAAAAAAAGTTTATTCCTTTTAATTTATGAAACCATTTGTAAATATCGTTGTTAGTAAATCATCCGATAATGAAGAATCTACGATATTTATCGAAGAGCATTATAAAAAAAAAGATCCAAATGTTTTAGTACATTCAAATATACGCACATTCGTATATAATATCTGTCTAAACAGAGTTTATCCTACACGACAGCCTACACTTAACATAACTGTCATCGTTAATCTTTTTCAGTTTGGAATAAAAAAAAAGAATGTGTGAAATAAAAGAAATATACTGATGGTGGATAATTGCGATTCTTTTAATTTATTTATATAAGCATACATAAAAATAGACGCAATAAAAATAAACGAAATGTAATTAGGTTGTTTAAACGGATTTGGGCCGTGCGCAAAATAATTTCGAAAATTTCCCCCCAACAAGTTACAAATTTGTATGGCAATTAAGGTACGGTTGTAAAACTTGCTTTTTGAATGCGGTAAACAAATCGAACATTGTGTGCAGATGAAACGTGAAATGCAATTCTAAAAATACTCTAATCTCCTGATCTCTTCCAGGTGTATCGAAGAACAATTACGAAATAATTATTGGATAATGCGTGCAGAGTGTGTGCGTATGTGGGATAAAGTGTATGAGAGAGCTTACTGTTAGGTTTGGCCTTCCTGTATAAATCCATAATTGCGGATGCAAATAAATCAGAGCTGAGCTGTATCCAGATTCATCAAGGGGAGCGGCGAAAGAACAAAAGGTAGACGAAGAAAAAAAACTGCTAATGTCGCTATGGCATCAGTCCAAACAGCCCAAATTTATAATTATAAAGCAGCTCGAGCAACCACCGACACATGCACATTCAACACAGGACGACGCTTCAATTGTTGCAGGAGATCGCATCAATCCGGGGAAGAAGCGCGCCAAAAAGTGTTTGCGATTTCGAAAATTCCATTCAGTCTTTGTCTGTGTGTATATATTTGGAACCGATCCTAGAACACGTACAAAGAAAGTCAAAATGTTTTCTTGATCTTTTCGAAGAAGCAGTCGTGGTTACTTGATCGCAATTATATTTTATGTATATATTTTTTTGAATGGAACCACTTCCTGGCAACGATGCGACCGTCGCGACGCGTTTATTCGCACTGAGCTCTCGCCTCGTTCAGCGCGCTTCCACCAAAAAAAAGGATCAAATGTATTTTGTTTCTCTCCTCGTCTCTGTATCCTTCTGTTTTACTTTTGTCTTGTCTCGTGCGCTCGGGAATTGGAAAGGATGTATAGAGAAGGACTCCCGAATTCGCGGCGCGACTAGGATTATTTTAAGTATTATGCTATGATTTTGGTGCCGTTCGACGGACTTCTGAGGGATCGGAGTCGGCGTCTGAGCAACCCGCGGACACGCGACGCACCGTGACGTCATTACATTCAACCCCCCTTTCCGCCGTTGGCCTACGCCACCCTCGCAAACGCTTTCCCACGTTATGTGTAGTAGTAATATTATCTTAACATAGAGAATCTGGGTCAAAGCAATTCCCTTATTTCATTTCTGGATCAGCGCAAGACCCGCACGACCACTAAAAACACCTATTAATTAGCCAATCCATCAAATGCTTCCATCGCGACGTTGGACCTTCCAAAAGCTTGTTTCGCCCGCACCGGAAATGAATTCATAATTTTCGAATAAAACACGACTAGTGAGTATTGATCTACCGTCAGTTGTTTAATCAATTCTTTTCTGGTACAAAAAAATCATTGTATCGCAAACACTGCAAATTAAATCCAATTTAAACATTTGAAACACCTGATTTTTTAATTTTCAATGTGTCATGTGTTCTTAACAATAACAGCACTTTAAATGCTATATTTTATTAAATAGTACGAATATCAATATCAATAAATCGATGATTTTTATTATTTACTTATGACGGATACTGTTATAGACATCTTAGATGATTTAACATTTCGCTAGATGTCACCATATTAGTTGAAAATATATTACATAAAATGAACCTTTTCATTGAAATTATTATAGTTTTATAATATATCTTATCTTTAAAATATGCTTGGTAGATTGTTAACTACAACTGCTAAGGTTTCTTTAAATCAATTCACAATAAACAGAATCCGAGGGACTTCTCCAATCATTGAGTCTTTGCCGTGTTATGTAATTATACTCCATTTGGGAAATTCACTAAACGTGTTAGAAAAAATCGTGTTATAGAAGAATCGTAGATACCCATGAAATACCTTATTGTGTATGTCAATTAATAAATATATTTATTAATACAAAATGTTAATGTATTTTGTTTGGTCTGAGTACTAAGGCAGTATTGTCACATCGTCATCTCTGTTATGTCTGCGACACGTGGCACGTTATGTTCGTTGTTATCCACGAGGATCTAAATTAGGATGCTGAAAATGTTGTTTTTCTTTATAAAAATGAGGAAGAGTAGGCCGTAGGAAAAAAGAAAAAAACGAAATATTTGGCTGGTTTTAAGAGCCACCGCAATTATTGGCTTTTGCACGTAACGGCTGAGGTAGCCTCACCACTAGGACAACATAGATTTGGGTCAAACAGGTGTTAAAAATACTATAATGGTTCTCCTCTCCGGTTGGGCTCGAGTTAGAAAAAAAGAATTAATATAAATAAGAGCGTTAAGAATATATTTAGAAAATAATGGCACTCTGCTAAAAAAAATCAGAAGCAACGTTTTTTTTTCAGTTTTTTGATTTACGAAATCCTTTTTTGTCGCATTGTTTTTGCCGCGTTATTGAAACCTATCCATTCCAAACATAACTATCAACCCTCAATATTTACATGCGGCATAAACAACCCTGACCCCGAACAGCCTTGACCCGGCGGCAAAGCTGGAAACGCTCTACGGCCGGGATCCTTCGACCTAGATTCAACCCCGTTTCGCTACCCCTCGGTGCCGAGGTTCCTGCATCGATCTCTGCACACTCCAGCACGTGTACATTATAAAGGCCGAAAGAAATGAGGAGGGAAACGAGAAATGACGAAAAAAATATGGATGGAAATTGAAAAACTAATGTGGAAGTACCTTGGGTACACATTCTTTAGTATACTATAAACTAGGATTTTATTTATTTCCATTCGACGTTGCCAATGCATATTATTGTAATTTATATTTAGACAATACGAAAAACCATGATGAATTGGACGTGCCGTAAAATATATATATATATATATACACACACACACACACAAACGTTGGGCTAGGACCAAGAAATGTTGTTTACTAGACTTTTATATTTTTAAATAAAATAAAGACACTCAACACGTACATAATTATCTGCTAAATAAATACCAATTATATTTTTGCCAAAACTGCAATTCATTCTGACCGTTTAAATGCCATTCGTTATTTAAAGCTATTCGTTATTTCAACTATTTGTAGAATTTCTCTATTTATATAGGACATACCTGAAACGTTTCAAACTGAGTTCCAGTCCAAATACATTTAATTATATACAAATTGTAAAGTTTTAACTATTACTTTTATTATATTAAAATTATCAATCAGACGAGTTCATGATTTTGATTATTATTTTAATATTTCGCGCCATATTAATTATAATCTGTTATAATTACTCATTTAGTACATTAATTCTTATCGTTTGATTACTACAATATAATTTTGACATCAATAGAAGAGCATATGTTGTTAAACAAATTTTGTTTAACTGTTGTTAAGCTAATTGAAATGAATATATTGATATCTACAATCAATATCTCAATGGATATCCATCAAATGAAATCATTAAATAACAAACCTTTGTTTGAAAATACAGTTTGTTTTTATTTGCACAGATTCAGTTCAGAACACTTAATTGAATTTTAATGTACAGCAAATTTAAGTGAAAACATTTTTTGGAACCGTCTTAAACTTTTGACTAATATAAATTATGCCATAAATTATAGTGTTTATTTATGCCTAACAATTTATTATTTTTTACATTTTAAGTATTATTTTGATGCATTTATTTAAATTTGTTCCATTAATAATTATAATACATATATTTTTAAAATAAATTCTATTTTAACCTTAAGATGAAAATATAGATTACTGTTTTACAATTTTACTTAAAACATTGAACAAGCTGATAAAGATCATAAGTTAGATAACATATTTAGTAATTTATTTGATTTTATAGGGGTCACGTTTAGAATTGTTTCAGTCTCAACCTGGGAGGTGAAAAGTCTATTATTGTATAGTTCAGATGTGGGCAACCAATGACCATCGTATCATTTCAAAAGCACCCACATCGTCATTTGAAATGACCTACTAGGCATATATTAACTTATAAATTCTCACTAGTCAAAATTTTCTAAATAAACTTTATCTCTGTTTGGAAAAACATCAATCAAATATTGTTATTGATAGATTAAGTAACGAATGGCTGTATAAATCTAATTATAATAGACATTTTTCATTAATGTAAAAAAGGCTAAAAGTTCAATATTTAAATTTTCAAATTCATAGCGTAGGAACATCAAGCAAAGTGTAGCATGAAGTTGCAACTGTTACAGTGACAGTGACAGGTAAAGAAAGCGCAATTGCCAATAACGTAACATAACCACCCCCGAGACAAAAGTAAGTAGTGATGAATGGCAACGCCGCCAAACAACCACCCCCTCGAGTCGGTGGTTGCTATTATTTATCTGTCAAGTTGTTCTTCGTGCCGCCCGCGCCGTCTGCGATATGAAAGTATCGAATGGTTCGCAAAACGCAGAGTGGTAAATCGCCCAAAAAATCAAAAAGGGCTTGCAGCGAAGGGGGCGGCGGCGAGGGTGCGGGAAATCTCATGTTCACGACGTACAATGAAACTTCAGTGCACAAAAGGAATTTGTGCATTGTCTCTTTTCCAATCATATTCCTGTTCAATCTGTTCAGGTCTCTGTTGTACCAAATCTTTGTCATATTTCGTTTTATCTACTGTAGCTCTTCATACTACTTGGTGCGTACCAGGGCTGAAGAGCCTACAGAATGCATTGAAGGTGGCACTGTTGTGATCGAAGAGATTCAAGACATGCCACTTGCACCAAGGAACACTTCTGGTCCAGGCCCAGGAGATCCACTCCTAGCCAAGCAGAAGCATCACCACAGAAGGGCCTTTGAATATATATCTAAAGCACTTAAAATTGATGAAGAAAATGAAGGTAATAATCTTATTGGAAAATAAAACAATCCAATTATAATTCATTTGTTTTATAATTGTAGGCCAGAAGGAGTTAGCAATTGAACTGTATAGGAAGGGCATCACAGAACTTGAGCTGGGCATTGCAGTTCAATGTTGGGGTGGCCGAGGGGAGGTCTGGGAAAGGGCTCAGAGACTCCATGAGAAAATGAAGACCAACTTGGCTATGGCAAAAGACAGGTTGCAGTTTCTAGGTTTGTTTATTTTGTTATTTTTTTTGTTGTTGTCATCTTGACAGTAAGCTACAATTGTGTGATAATGGCAATAAGCAAAATACCAAAATTAAGTATGTGTTCCTAGATTCGTGTTTCGTTTTACTTTTAGTTTTGCAATTTATTTTTATTTTGTAGAAAGCATGGATGGTTTAGAGCGTTTAGCTGTTTTAAGTGAATCAGCCCCAACACTTAGTAATTCAAACAATAGCAATATTCCAAAACCTAAACTAGTTCCAAGTACAGCAGGTAATAAAGTCAACATTGTGCAATCATTGACTGAGTCAAATGCAATAATATGTTTTGTATATTTTTTTTATGCTTTTTATATGCACTAAATTAAAAACAATTGAATTTTATACTTCAATTTACAGCTTCTGGAAAGAAATTGACGATAGCAGCGAAACGACCGCCAAATTCTGCATTGTCTAAAAGTCAAACATTGCCGAGAAGCATGGGGTCAAGAAGTGCCCCGATCCAACCCGTCCGCCCTTTCAATAAATTATCGTCAACACCGCCTGCAATAAAGAAGCAATTGTCCATCCCAGGTTCCAGTTCACCAGCCAGAAAAGCCCCATCCGCAACCGGTAAAACAATATTTGTTTGCTCTCTAAACTTGTAATATCCTTAATTGAATCATGTCCATCGAAGGTATCGCTAAACCTGCTAGTAAAAAGTCCCTCAACCTGCGAGGAGTAGATCCAAAATTGGCTCAAAATATATTGGATGAAATCGTCGAAGGCGGACAAGCCGTGCAATGGGAAGACATCGTGGGTCAAGAAACCGCTAAACAAGCGCTACAAGAAATGGTAATTCTTCCATCGTTAAGACCGGAATTATTCACCGGACTTAGAACGCCTGCCAGAGGCTTGTTGCTATTCGGACCGCCGGGAAATGGAAAAACTTTGTTAGCTAGGGCAGTAGCCACAGAATGCCAAGTAAACTGATTCATTAGAATACGAGAAGATTATCAATTGATTACATATGATTTCAGGCTACATTCTTTTCTATAAGCGCCGCCAGTCTCACATCAAAGTTCGTTGGAGATGGAGAGAAACTTGTGAGAGCCTTATTCGCTGTTGCCAGAGAGCTACAGCCGTCCATAATATTTATCGATGAAGTTGATTCGTTGTTGTCTGAACGCTCTAATAACGAACACGAATGCAGTCGACGGCTGAAAACCGAGTTTTTGGTTGAATTCGACGGATTACCAAGCAATCCAGAAAGTGAAAAAGTAAATACACTTAGCATTTTTTATTCATCAACTGTAAGCATTTTATTTTAACTGCAGGTTGTCGTCATGGCTGCTACAAATAGACCTCAAGAATTAGACGAGGCTGCGCTTCGCCGTTTTCCAAAAAGAGTATATGTGACTTTACCAGATTTGGAAACTAGAGCGGAACTGTTGAAAAAGCTATTGGCTAAACAAGGTTGCTCGTTAAGTAACGGAGAAATGAAGCGTTTAGCTACATTAACCGATGGTTATTCAGGTTGTGATTTGACTGCTCTCGCTAAAGACGCTGCGCTTGGACCAATAAGAGGTAAGTCAATTAAAAACTTGATTATTGATTTTAATTATCATTTATTTATAGAACTACAACCAGAGCAAGTAAAACATTTGGATCCAGGTGCTGTTAGAGGTATAACAATCAGCGATTTTCTGGATTCACTGAAGCGCATAAGAAGAAGTGTTTCGCCGCAGAGTCTCGTGGCCTACGAGAAATGGTCTCTGCAATACGGAGACGTTTCGTTTTAATAAGCCCATCATTCCGTTTCCATGATATTTAGTTGTGTAGTAAACAATTATTTTTGTACGAATTATGTTCAAACAACAAAAAACAAAATACTCGTGCGTATTTATTTAATTAAAAACAGATTTTGCTTGTTATTTTATTTATTTGCCTGGCCACTATTTGGATAGATGTGATTTAGTTTAAGGATGTGCGTTGTTTAAAATAAGCTTATTATAATTAGGTTGAGTTGAGTTTTATATTATTTAAGAGGAAAGTTCTAATGTTTTGTTTGGTTATATGAATCTTTGGACGTCCTTTTTTATACAATCTATGTCAATTGTACTGTTTCAGTTCTTTTTATATATAAATAATAACACAATGTGAGCTTTCGATTATTTACCTTATATTTAGAAACATTTTTTACATCAATACAACTAAATACCTTTTAACATTAAATACAAAAGCTGTCCTGGCTTAGAACCTTGACAAATATATATATATAACGAGTTTCTTTTGCATTTAAAATATAAACAACAAAAGATCTACTCTATTCTACATTTAAATTAATCATCGTCACTTTCGTCTTCTACTTCGAAAGTTTTAGTGATAGTTCTGTTGTTAAATAAGTCCATAGTAAGCGAGCTTAGAAAGACCGGTATTGATCTTTGGTGATGCAAATGAAGATCAATCATTTCATGCAAATTGGAACTGAATTCGTTAGCTAAAAGATTCATTGCTCCATCGTTATTTAACCGGAATGATAAGAAATCATCCGGTCTTTCTGCGTACATACTAGTTAACTTGTATTGTGAACTGGAAGTCTTATCTATTTTATAGCCAAGCAACATGTAACTGACATTTCTGAATTCCTGCATGGAACTCTTGAAATACTCCTTAAGCCTTTGCAGATGTTGCTCTGATGAACGCAATTGCTCCTTCACTTCCAAAATATCCTTATTATCTGTAGTCTCATCGGCTAATCTGCTTGCCTCCAAACCTTCTTCTAAATTTTTGATCTTCCTTTTCAATCTGTCAACCTAAAGAATAATAATTGTTTATTAATGAAACAAATATAACTTGGCAGTACGTTACAGCAAACCTCTTCTTCCAATTTTTCATTTTCCTGTCCACGTAACTTCACAATTTCAGAAAGAGGATTCTTTTCGTTGTGAATAATACGTGCCTTGGTTTCATCATGGCCAACCAGATATTCTTCAAGTTGTATTTCCAACACATCTTTACGCTCTCTCAGCATCGCATTTTCGTTATTCAGCTTCTCAATTTCATCTTGCAAGCGAGAAATCTGTTGGGCTTTGATAGGCGTAATTTCTATAAAAAAATATAATAACATTATACATTTCAATTTTTATCTTAATTGTTATGTAAACTTACCCATTTCTATGTTTGGTTCAACATTTTGCAAATCAGTTTCTAACTTGTGGACCATATCTCTATAACCATCAACCATTTTCTCCAAATTTTTAATGCGTTCTTGCTGACTCTGAATTTGCACTCCACCAGGATTAGCCAAGCTTGCTGGGTTTATGCAAATAGTCAAATCCTTTTCATAGGAGTCCAATTGTTTTCTGTAACTATCCCTTTCACCAGCAACCAAAGACAACTTCTTTTGCATTCTGTGTATTAAATTTTGATGCTGCTTAACATTTTTTTGCAGATCAGCAATATGCTTCTGCGACTTATCCAATTCATCTTTAGCTACTTTAGCAACATGATTTACTTGTGACAGTTGAGATTCTAACTGAATCTTTTCTGATGTCAAGTTAATTTCTTGTTGTTGTAAATTTTCAAGCACACCTCTCAGCAATCTAGGTAATGATGAATCAGATGAAGTCTCACAAATGCTCCTGGCCAAAACACGGAACTCTTCTAAATACAATTCAGTTTGTGCATTAGTAACTTGCAAATTGGTGTACTTAGTATCAATTCCTTTAAAATTTTGTAAACGTGTTTTCAAACTATGCACCTCCTCCTCTAAGACCAACTTATTATGAACTTCATCTTTCAAATTTTTCACTTCCTCACGCAGCTTAATATTTTCTTTCTCCAAGTCACTGAATGCTATTAACTTATGCTGTTGAGTCTTGGATTGCTGTTGGTATTCAAGGTAGCTTGCTTTACTAAAAGATATATCCTTAATTTGTAAATGTGCTTTTGCCAATGCTTGAGTTTTGATTTCAAGTTGTCCTTCTATATTAGATCTGTCAGCAACACGTTTGTTCAGTTCTACAACCAAACTCTTGTGAGCTTCAGTTTCTTCTTGTGCAGCTTTATAGATATATTCCAACTCAGAAATCTTCCTTTTCAAAGCAGTTACCTCATTGTTTTCATCAGAAGTAGAATACTGCATTTCTGTTTTTAAAGTAGATATACTTGAATCTAACTTCTGAATCTGCATGTCAGTGTTATTTTTTAATATCTTGTAGTTCATATTACAATCAAATAGCTCCTTCTTCAAAGTCTGTTCCCTCTTACGAATAGATTGCAACTGACTTTCTAGCTCCTCAATGCTCTTCTTATCTTTATCTCTTTGAGTCTTTAGTTCATTCACTTCTTTGTCATACATGATTTCAATGCTTTTACGAGCTGTATGTAAAGAGGCAATTCGATTTTCGAAATTTTCAATTTTATTCCTTGCGTCCACTAAATCTGACCTTAACCTCCTGATTTCCCTGGGTGAACCTACGTAGAATAAATCGTTTTCCTTGAATCTCTTAACGGGTGTTGCTTCTTCACTACCCGGGCTTGGGCATTTCGGCCGTTTCTGTTGTTGCTTATCCATCACGGAATCAGGGTTCGAAATCCTTGGCCTCTTCAGTGGAGTATTCATCATCAACAGACGCTTGGAATTGTTCGGTATCAAATCAGTAACCATATGTATTATCGTATCATTCACACTGTCTTTAGAAGACATTGTTATTGCAAATCACACGGCTTTCCATATAACCTGTAAATTCGACTTCCCGATTAACTAATCTAGACGCCGACGACGAAAACACCCAACTATAAACAAGGGTGGGAGGGAGACAGATTGATTACACTTAAATTTCTGACCAGTAAAAAGAGATGCATGCAAGTGCAAACAAGCATTATTTTTCGGTATGCATTTATCGAACTCACGATGTTTTTACAACGTCGCCAAATTTACTTTATACTATTTTGTTCGTTTTGTATGTTATTTATATATAAAAGAATTCCTTTGTATGAAAAAACATCATATTAGATAAATTAGATGCAAATTAAGGAATTCTTACGTAATACTTATATAATGTCTACTACAGTCTATTATCAATCCTTAGAAGATATATAACATATGTTTTCAGATTTAAGTTTGCATAAAATACATAGTTTATAAATATTAAATAACTTTTAAGATTTATTTAGTGAACAGAAAGTCGTTTGCATTAATTTCAAGGAATTGTTAGACCTTATTAAAATAATTTAAAAAGAAACATATTCTACAATGGTAATAATAGATATGTTTGGCAACATAGCGACAATGTATACTATCGTATCCATTTTACTGGAGCAACGTCGCAAAATTGCTTTCTGTCCGATGGTGGTTGAATTCTATAAATTGGAGTACACCAAATGTTCTTTCCTGTATTTATAATTACTGTTAAACGTTGTATGGAATTGTAAGCAATCTATATCTATAAGTTGCAATTAATTATAATTTAAAATAAAAGTTTGACAACCCCAGGATGATCATGGTTTTGGTTTGATCCAATAAGAGCGCGCCGTTTGTGTTGTCATGCGCTACATTGCGATGTTGCAGAAATTGTGGAACGCCATTTTAGTTGGCGTCGGCTGGAAAGTTTGAGAAACACTTAGTACCTCAGCGGCGACTAAGTTGGTTTTCGCTACAGGGAGAGTCAGTGTTTTTAACACGTTAGTATTTTGCGTGGTTTCGGCGTTTTTTTGAATTTTCCGTTGCGCGATATGGGCGATTATCAGGTGACAAATGTGCAACAGGACGCACTCGGTGCTGTACAATTGGAGCTGGGGAATCCCAACGCGTTGGCCCTCCGTAGACCTTTCGATCCGCTTGCCCACGATTTGGAGCCAAGTTTTCGCTTGACGCGATTCGCTGATTTGAAAGGACGCGGTTGCAAAGTCCCCCAAGAAGTCCTCAACAAGCTTGTCGAGGGTCTCCAGCAAGACTACAACAATGCAGCAGAACACGAACATGCTCACTTCATGCATATGGCTATACCCAGGATCGGCATTGGATTGGATTGCTCGGTAAACACGATACTTAACTTTTTGTTTTGTTTACTATTTCAAAGCTACCTCCACTTTTCTTAATTACATTACTGATTATTATAATGGCTCAGTATTAATTAGCTTTGTTTGAAATGTTAAATAATTGAAAACTATTCTATATTTGTTTTGTTATTTGATAATAATTCTATGTTTTATTGTAGGTGACACCTCTACGTCATGGGGGTTTGTGTCTTGTACAAACTACAGACTTCTTCTATCCACTTGTTGATGATCCCTACATGATGGGCAAAATTGCCTGTGCCAATGTTCTCAGTGACTTGTATGCAATGGGAGTTACAGAATGTGATAATATGCTCATGTTACTGGGAGTTAGCACCAAAATGACGGAGAAGGAAAGAGATGTTGTTATTCCATTAATAATGAGGGGATTTAAAGATTCAGCACTAGAAGCAGGAACTACAGTAACTGGTGGACAAACTGTAGTCAATCCTTGGTGCACTATTGGCGGAGTTGCTTCAACTGTATGCCAACCAAATGAGTATATTGTACCAGATAACGCCGTTGTTGGCGATGTTTTGGTCCTGACGAAACCTTTAGGAACACAGGTAATTACTTAATTGAATCTTACATATTTTATCTAAATGTTACATCTGAATTTATTTAGGTTGCTGTTAACGCGCACCAATGGTTGGACCAGCCGGAAAGATGGAATCGTATCAAGTTGGTGGTAAGCGAAGAGGATGTCAGGAAAGCTTATCACAGAGCCATGGATTCGATGGCTCGCTTAAATCGCATTGCATCCCGCTTAATGCACAAATATAATGCTCATGGTGCAACAGATGTTACTGGCTTCGGTCTTTTAGGACACGCGCAAACTCTGGCGTCGCATCAGAAGAACGAAGTATCGTTTGTTATTCACAATCTCCCAGTAATTGCGAAAATGGCAGCCGTTGCCAAAGCCTGCGGAAACATGTTCCAACTGCTCCAAGGACATTCCGCCGAGACCTCAGGAGGACTCTTAATCTGCTTACCAAGGGAGCAAGCGGCTGCCTACTGCAAGGATATCGAGAAGCAAGAAGGATACCAAGCCTGGATTATTGGAATCGTGGAGAAAGGCAATCGCACTGCTCGCATCATCGACAAACCAAGAGTTATTGAGGTCCCAGCTAAAGAATAAATCTATATGCCCATTCATATTCCGCTTAAATATATTTTTTAAAAACTATATATAGGTATGCAGATAATATTTTTAACTGCCTGTGCTTATAGTTTAGCGTGGATCGTAATGAGAATTTGAATTGAAAATCAAAATTCTTACTAAATTTTCATACTAGAGAACATATAATGAAGATGGTTTTTTTTTTATATTATTAACTATATATTTTAGTTTGATATTTCACAGGCTGAGTTTTTTTCTGTACATTATTCTCTTTAATTTTGTTTTTGTCTTCTTAGGGTTAAAAATAAGTAATGTAGTATTTGTAAACATGCATACAGACACTATTTTGTAAGATACGATGATAAAAGAGAAATAAAATATACAATATGTTTCGACAACTTCCAAAACTCGGAATTGGTGTAATATTAGATTTTCTTAATGAAATAAACCTTAAATAATAATTGCATTCATTACAACCCAAAAAATAAATCATTCAATTTTTGTTTTGCAAATAAAATGTCAATGAGATTTTCGTTAATTTATATTTAATTATTAATATACGTGTTATGTTTATATACAATATTAATTTTACCTTCTACTGGCCCTTAGGTTCTGTTAGAAAAATTGTAATACAAATGTTTTGTACTTTGTTGAGAGAAACATTTGAAACTGAAGGTAAAAATGAAACTCATTGTTTATCCGTTTTTTTTATATAGCCATCGCATGTATAATAAATTTATGTTAAAAATTGAAGATTATTCAATAATACGATTAGACGCCTTCGCCATCCTCTCCATACTTTTCTCTTGCAAGAAGTTTTGATAATTCAATTGTGATCTCTTCTGTATTTTGACCATATGCTTCATCATTTTCCTATCCTCCAGGAATCTGTTCTTATTCAGATTACTTATCTTCTCCAACAATTGTTTACCATCTGTAAACACAAAAAATAATCATCTATTCAATTTAATATCAATAATTAATTACCTTCGAATCTAGAGTCACTATAAGTAAAAAAGAATTGCTGCTGCCATTTCCTTTGTCTATGCATCAATTCTTTTGAATTTTTGGCATCATTTCCTTGCTCACCATTTTCCTGATAATAATCATCCCCGTTGTAATAATCACCATTCACGCAATCTTCCGTATACGTAGAATCATTTTCTTTCGTTTTGAAAGAATTAAAATTAATATTTGATGCGTCATTATGAACTTCTACAATGATTGAGATTAATATTAATTATCAAAAACTCATGTTTAAAAATATATACCATTCTCAAAATTACTTGTTTGATCATGGTTTGATTTGAAACCAAATGTGAATCCTTTAGGGCCACTACTTTCACCATTTGTAAAAAGTTCTGGAGTTATTTTATCCACATTAAAGTCAAAACCCTTATGATCATATTTCAGCGTTTTCTCTTCAGGTTCTTTGAATTCCTCCTCATGTGTATCTTTTTCATAACTAAATGTATATTATTAGTATAATATAACAACAAATTTCATATAAAACATACTCATCCTCAACAAATTTACGTTTCTTCTTTACGTTATTTACATTATTGTCATAGCTAAAATCATCCTGAAAACAATTATCAGAAAACATAAAAAAATATTATAAGGATTAATTCCTTACCTCAAATTTATTGAAATTCCTTAATTTGGTTTCCCTATCTTCATTAAAATTATTCACTTGATTATCATTTATTTTTCTGAAATGATTAACATCTTGTTGTTCAACTTGTGGAGGTGCTTTATATGCATCTTTATCTGTATCCTTAGTTTGCTCTCGTTCTCTTTTTAATCGATCAAGGAAATTTTCTCTGGCTACAGTTATTCTTACATATTCTCCATGCCATGCATTATTATTGGCATCATTCAAACCTGAAGCAGTTCATTTTAAATGATTACACAATTACTTGTTTTTTTTTTAAGAATCTTACATTTATCTAAAGAAATATTATCCACATTCAGTGAAACATAGGCAAAGTAATGTGAGGTATTCCTTGGTCCTAATTCCTTCCTCTCTTTAATATCTACACCAGTCACAGCACCATATTTCTTAAATCTATTTCTAACATCTTCTTCTGTAGCACTTTCCGGCAAATCACTTATAAACAATCGTTTCGGTTCCATACTTATTTTTAAAATGCAACAAATAAAGTTAAAAGTAAACGTGTAAACTTATAGGTTAAAAAATAAAATTTGGGTTATGTTTACGAAAATGCGTACATCCGTTTCCAGCAGATGGCTCTTAATTTACTGTTGAACCAATATAATATTGACAAACTTTTTAAATGAATATATTTTTTTATAATTGATATAAATCTCTTAAAAAAAAATATTTAAATAATTTATATTATGTATATGTTTAGATGATTTCTAATTTCTATAAGAATATTAAATATAAATTAGCCAAATATAAAGTTTTAGGGTCGATATGGCAAGCCCGACAATCGAAATACCGTCTATCTAAATCCCGACTGTATCGAAAACCCGACGTTCGAAATCCCAACTGTATCAAAATCCCGACTATATCGAAAATTTCTACAATAACATTTTTAAATTATTTCGGAGCGTAGTATTTGACTTTGTTGAATTATTCATAATAAACCTTAACAATTTGAAATAATTTCAAATACAATTAGATTATTAATTGTTATTTATTATTAATAACAATTTAAAAGTTATTACGCTCCGGAATAATTTAAAAAAAATATTGGAGACATTTTCAATATAGTCGGGATTATGGTTGTCGAGATTCAGTCGGGATTATGGTTGTCGAGATTTTGATATAGTCGGGATTTCGATAGACGGTATTTCGGTTGTTGGGCTTGCGATTGCCACCCAAAGTTTTAAATAATTTATGATTTATAATATATGTCGAATGTTTACTTTCGAGGGCGGCGCGTTGAGAAGTCATTGTTACAATCAACCACCAACAATATTCCAATAATCTCAGAAGAACACAGAATATCGTCCAACAATCTTAGGGCTATTGATCCAAGTCAGCTTTGTTTCACAGCATCTATGGTAATCCAGTTCTCTCCGTCTTTATCTCTTAATCTAAATGCCAATCAATCCCCGCTGATCAACCGAGGAATACCACTCCCACTCGTCCGGGGAATACCCTTCTTTCCTGAAGTCCCCGAACATGTGCTGACAATGCTATTTGACCAGATGAGGTTCTTTGTATCTATGCACGTGTCGACTACGTTGTTCGGTCAGGTGCTGTTGTTTTACGTACTCCGACATATATAAATAATTTTTAATAACATCCGCAGAAATTGTATTCAGTTTAACATATAAATAATTCATTTCAATTATTTTTTTTTAATTATTATTACGTCCAATTACTTTTTTTTATTTTTCGATCCCACTACTTTTTAATCTGATTTTCTCATACAGGCATACATCAAATAATTTGTAGCACTGGTTTTTCTTTACAACAATTATATTTTTAGTAAAATTACAAGTACATTCTTATTGTTTATTACAGACCACTTTAGGCAGTGAAACATTGGATATGTTAAAATTAAAATTTAAGTATAATTAAAAAAGATCGTCATATTTTAACTACTTGAATACTGTCCAGTTAATGTGTCGATACTGGAAATTAAAAATATTTAATTAGTGGCAATATTTAATATTTAAACCACTTGTCGTCGAACTTTTATGTTTAGTTAAGGTCGGGTAATATTGAATATACGGGTAAGCATATATATAATATGTACAGTGGAACCTCGTTTAACGAACATAATCCGTTCCAGAATTTCAGGATTTTTACTCGTATAGTGAAACACTCGTAAGGTGAAACAATTTTCCGCACATAAACTAATGTAAAATACGATAATTCGTTCCATGCCGGAAAAAAGTATAACTTGGTTTTGCTTTTTAATGATTTTGTTTTTCATATATATGGTTATTTTTATTCGGAGACATGCAAGTGTTATTTTTTTGCACTAAAAGAATCACAAATAAAATGTCCGAACACTAAGATAAAACTAGAATGACTACTAACACCAGGAACTATTTTTCCTTTTATACAAAGTGAAGTGAATTTACGCCTGACTCCATATATGTTTATAGTACTTGTCCGGCTCTCTGTAGTGGTGTCTTTATACTTTTTATATTTGGTTATATAAAAAAAAGGCGTACAGTTTGTTTATAATCTATAATAATGGTTGGGCACAATACATTTTTGTTTTGCTTTTACAGACACACATTATATCTTAGTATCTTTGCAAAGTACAGTAGAATATGTTTTTGTGCGATTTTTTAATGTGGTATATGAAACCCAACCAATTCCAACGGCGTTGGCACCATTGTAATGTTTTCTATCAGTGTGCATATGTACAGCCAGCTCAAACAATTCTGTTAGTCGATTTTGAATCAATTCATTACAAGATGATGCGCGTTTTGGATTAACACGAGTGGCAGTGAATTATGTACGTACATTTTGAAAATTTCTCCATATGTACAATGAGAAATTATGTTCTTAATGTTTTTAAAATGTTTCCAGGTGTAATTTATTTATTTATGTTGTTTTAAATCTTTGCCCCGCACTTGCTAGAGACGGCCCTGATGGTCCCTGTATTAAAAAAGTTTCTGCAATGTATTATACAAAGTTATTTGTTATATGTAAGAATTTATGAAAATTTCGAATATTTTTTTTGCTATTTCTTTTAAGCGGTTCCTATCTACCGCACAAAACAGGTATAGACAAAGATGACAAAAAAATGGAAGATGGTTTATATATTCAATAATACACATAATATGTCTCAACGCAAGTTTAGAATTGTGCAGGTGCACAATTCGGGACTTCTCTTCTCATCATTCGTTATGCGAAACATCGCTCGTTATGATAATCTTTTTTATTACATTTTATTTTGCTCGTTAAGCGAATTTCCACTGTATTTTTTTACAATTTTGTCATCTATCAACCCTACTTTGTTGTGAAGTTTGATTTAATTCTCATATAGGTAAGCTCCGTGATATATACTTGCATATTTATATCAAAGGTAAGCTCCGTATATATTCAATCTGAATTCGCGTGTACCTGAGAAGATATTTAGGTTTGTTACCTTATTTGAACTACTGGCAAGTGGGATGGGCTTAAGTCAGATAAGGAAACACTGGGTATTTTTGAATTCAAATGCGCGTGTAGCCGGATGCGCTTTGGTCAAGAAATGTTGGTTGCATATTATGGAATGGTCAAATGTGCAGAATGCAGGTAGACAGTGTCTGCGTACATGTAATAAGCATAAAGTGGTTGTTAAATACGATTCAAAGAGATGATCATAATTATGTTGGGTATTGGTGGGCGCGTCTGGCCCGGGCTAAGCTCGAGTAGCAGCGGGGGGCGACGCATGCGCAACCATAATCGCATCGATATACAAACACGTGCTACAACTACACCAAACTACACACACACAAATACATATACGTATTGATGCACACATATAAATAACAATATACATACGGCAGACACATACGCCGCTGCTGCACTTTATCAAATAAAGAGGCACACACACACAAAGACGCAAACGGTGTATAATAATTGTGCGTGGATTTGTTATGTTGGATGCGTGTGAGTGAATTAATTTTGTTTGCCACCTAGGTATTAGTTGACAATCCGCCTGTTTGTGCTTCCATCCATCAGTTCAGACCGGGCAAGAGCAGAAAGGGGTTGGAGTCTGTATTCTTTACGGTTACGAGGGAAGGAAGCGTCGCAAGTACACGGAATGTAAGTGAAATACGAGAATGCTAGCATCCAATTGGACAGAGCGCGAAGCAATACCTACTGAAAAAAGACTACCATTTAAATTAACCTAACTTTACATTTTTTTCTTAAACATTTGCGCCTAACACTGAAACGCATTTTTCGTTTCACCAAACGCTCCATATAGAGTGACTGAGCTAAATCTGTCAAATTTTATATATATATATCTACATATGTGTATGGATATACGTGTATGCATGTAGATATATATATAAATATAAAAAAGAAACAAGACTAATGTGTGTGCGTGTGTTGAATTTATTTTTAAATAGTCCCGGTTTTATTCTTAAGCTTCAATTACATAATTCACATTGGATTCCAATTGAATGCGGTGCCTTTCGAAAGCACTTTGGAATTCGTAGAAATCTGTTGTCCGCAGTTTTGAGGTTATAGTTTAAATTTTTTGCGTTTGACAGCGAGGGTTGTCTTCGCGATAATCGCATTATTTTCGTGCGGAGTATTTCGTTTGGTGATCTCAGTGTGCTCTGGCACATTTTGATTAATTTTTTTCTAAAAATACACATTTTAAGGTTAGACCTGAGAGGGAGAGGAACTGAAAAAAGTTTGAATCGTATCATTTTTTTTTTGTTCTTTTCGTTGTCCGTTCCTCCAGAAAGTTGATGCACAACCGCATTTGGCTATAACGAGGTCACGGTTATTGCGAGCTCCAATTTGACAATACATGTGTGTATATTGAAGCTATTAGAATTACAATACAACATAAGTTGAGAAGCTCCATTTTTCTTATTGGTAACCACAAAATATTGTTTGCAGCAAATGTAACTGAATATTTATTTACCCTTTGTTTTTCTTTACTAGAATTGCTCATAAACGAAATTCTTATTGGACAAGATGTTCCCAAACAATTATTATGGGGTGAGTTACACTTGTTGTTTACATCTCATTATAACATAGTAAATAAATAATTCATAACATTTTGTCACTTATTCTTGCAGACCAATAATGGTGGTGATGTTGCAATGGTGAACCAGAATGGTGGTGCTGGGGATGGTTCATTCGACAGGACCAAACTAATTGTCAACTACATACCACAGTTCACCACAGAAGAAGACCTAATGGGTATATTCATGCAAGTCGGTGATCTAGAAAGCATCAGGATTATGAGAAATCCACGTAGTGGATATAGTTATGGTTATGGCTTTGTTAAATACATCAAAGAGGAAGATGCTGCAAAAGCCATTGAGAATTTCAATGGTCTTCAATTCAGGTGAGTGAATGATTTCTTTTACTCAATGTAGCAATCTAAAGTTATCCATCTTTGGGTATTGTAGAAACAAAAATTTGAAAGTTTCATACTCGAGGCCACCCAGCCAGGCAACTAAAGATTCAAACCTGTACATCTCAAATTTGCCTAAAGAATTTACAGAAGACAATCTTGTTGATATGTTCTGCAAATATGGTGAAATTATACAGAAGAATTTGCTTAAAGACAAGAACACTGGATTGCCGCGCGGCGTTGCGTTCGTCCGGTGAGCATTAACAATTTCTATACTGGAAACAGTTTGTAACGTAATCATTTAGTTTTGCACGTGGAGATGAGGCTCAAGCAGCTATCGCCGAATTGGACGGTCTCAAGCTGGACAACTGCCCCTTCCCAATAAGTGTTCGTGTTGCTGATGACCACACCAAACAGAGATCTCAGATGATCGAGCAACAAATGCATATGTGCAACAGGCAAGGTAAAATGTACTACCACCATTAAACCGCAACCGAAAGTAACGTCAACGTCAAATACAAGAAAAAAGAAATGAAAATAATATTAAAAATAAATAATAATATAGTGGATAATATTTGTGATCAGACGCGGGAAAGACATTGGCGTTATGGATTTAAAATAAACAACAGAAAAGATTAAAAATTAAAATAAAAGAGCTTTATCCAATATATATAATATATATATAATTTCTTCTGTATCTGTTAAAATAGTAAGATATGAATTTTATTTTTGTGACTTTAATATTTTTGGATACAGAAGAGCATTTTATAAGTTCAAAACTGAAAAAGTTTCGATTAGTTATTTAAGTTATATAAAATGGATTTTTTTTTGTGAAGAGAATATTTATATTTTTTTTTTCTGTGTGCGTATTTTTTTTTAGAATTTTATATCCAATATAATTTTTCTTATGTAAGCCACTAAACACCACTTTAACTCCTCCCAACCACACGCAAACCAAACCACCTTACAACACAAATTGCTTATAAGATTGATGAAAGACGCGCGCGTTTTTGTTTTCTTTTGTTTTTATTTAATTCCGACTTCTCTGAAATTCCAAATCTTCTGGATGATTATTACAATTTTACGAAATCTTAGGTTGTTTTTCTATTAGAGGCGGCTGTCATACGATGCCTAACAGGGGACACGTAAGGAATAATACCGCAAATCGTTATTTGGGCGGAGGCGGCGACTTCAATTATTTGGGAGAAATGTTTTGGTAGAAGAGGATTTCGATTGGTTGCGGACAAAATTGAAATAAAAAAAATAATATAATTGGTTACAATAAGATTCGCGAATCTAAATTATGTTTCGGAAATCTTCATTTCGGACAATCTCCCGCCGCTTTCGATAATTTAAAAATGTAATGCAAAAAAAAGACTGTTTTAAGTTGTTATTTTTTTATTCAGTTTTATTTGAAGGATTTTTGTTTAATTTTTTTTGACCATGTTTTATATATATATTTAACTGACCAGCAAATGAAAGAAGAGCGGAAAGTGGCCAGGTTGAGTTTTTGTTGGAATATTTTGACATCTCTTGTTTATTTTGATTTAATGATTCGTTGGAATTTGCTGGGCGAATAGTTGATGAATTCTTGCCAAAATCATCGAATGATTGAATGTCAATATTTGAACATAAGCTCCTGTTATATTCATATACCTATTATTACTATTTTTTTCAATACACTGTGCAATTTATTTTGTTGTTCTTAAAAGAAATAAAACATACAGGATGTTGTTTTTGTTTTTATTTAAGACTTTTTTTAAAATATATATATAATTTTTTTTTCAAATTTGTCAGTATTATCGACTTTTTTTTCTTATGAAACGGTCAGATTTTCGTTCGAACAGCGTCGAAGATTGTGTGGTTTTATACAATTTGTTTTTATTTTTTGTTTATTGGAGCAGCGCGTCGCGACGGATTTTTGATTTGATTTTTATTGGCTAGTCATGACTGATTTATTTTTGTTTTTTCTTTCATTCTCCTTTTATTCTTGTTTTTTTTTGAGCTGCCGCTGCTTTAAATGATTATTACTTTTAAAACCATCGAGGTATCAGCTTAAACGCAATGTTCCTTTATTATCCTATCAACAAATCCGATTTCCTCTAATATATTTATATATTATATAAAACTCTATATAATGTAATTATAATGATATGTGGTTATTTTTATATACAAAAAAAGGACGAGAATTGATCTTCGTGCATAAGATTCGTTTGTTATGCTATTATATAAATATGATTTTTTTTTATTTTGTAATGTTTCTTTTATTTTGTAAAAAGAAGGAAGAAAGTGACAAGAAAGCGATTAACGAATATTGTATATGTAATAATTTTATTTAAATATTAATAAAATGATAGATCAAAGTTCTATTGTAGGTGGTTCGATATTAGAGTATTGTTAATATTTTCTCAATATATTTTTCTTCTTCTCTTGTAGATTATTAGAAGAGTACGCCCCGGACGTGTAACAATATTTACCAACGTTTTTTTAAGGATATATTTTTTTATGGCAAAATTTGCGCAACGCTAAATTTATATTGATCGGACATCAAAGTAAACTATACACAGGGTTGTTTATTTCTACATCTATAGTTTCGTTATATTACTCATCTAAGATATGTATTTCAAAATCAAAAGTTGTTGTATATTATTAAATTTGTTCTGAAATTTACTTTTTTTTTTTGTTTGCGATGGAAAATTAAATTTTATAAAAATTTATTGTAAAAAAAATATATATATATTTAAAACAAAATACTTATTTGTCATAAATTAAGGTGCTTTTTATTTCATAAAGAATATGACCCAAAACGATTTGTCTTGTTTATTCAAACACATAACGCAATAATGGACTGAATGTTGTGGTTAACTTAACATACGTACTTTAATCCATTATGTATCTAACGAGTAAACTTTTTTTTGTTTTATTTTCTTGTTTCTTTTTTTTTGTCAGCTATGTCTTTGGAAATTTATTAATAAATATTGATGTTGATTTTGTCTCTTCCTGAATCATCGAAAAAAAAATCTATTATATTCATTGATCCTGAACGTCTTTGATTTCATCGTAAAGGCGTAAGATTTTCAATTCTTTTTCATTACAGTACGAGAACCGATAGTAGAAGTTGTCCTTAACTGTTGTGCTTGATGTATGTATATATTGTGGTTTGTCGGAGTGATTCGTAAACCGTCCGCTGTGTGGTTATAAACCCTAATGTTAACAAATATTTACTTACTTTCGAAAATATAATTATTTTGTAATTATATATATTCTTTTATTTTATATCCCACATTATATCCAGATCTATTTTTAAACATTGTTTTAAAAGAAATGTAGTAAGACCTTGTTTAGTGCTTTCTCGATTTACGCTTTAAATGTGTCTATTTACTATATTTTAATGTAGAAGTCACATTTAACGCTGTTTCGTTTGGCGTCTGTCGTCTAGGAACGCAATCTAAGCGCTAAACGAGGTCCTACTGTACTCAAATATTTTAGATCAGTAGTTCTCAAACTTTTTGGTCCGCGACTCCCTTTTGCACTTGAAAAAATAAAGAACGGGTATGATGAATGGGTATGTACAGAAAAACATATCCTCTCGTCTGTCATCCATTTTTCTGCGACCCCACTGGGCGTCGCGACCCACACTTTGGGATGATTTGATTTAACTTAAAGTTTTATTAAATCCATATATACAAATTGCGTTGTGAAGTATTAATTGTAATCATCATATTGTAATTATTTTAGAACTACAGTGGTACCTCGCTTAACGAGCATAATCCGTTCCAAAATTTCCAGATTTTTACTCGTGTAGTGAAACAATTTTCGCCATATAAACTGATGTAATATACGATAATACGTTCCATTTTGGAGTCATTTTTATTAAAATTTATTTTGCTCGTTAAGCGAGGTTCCACTGTATAATAAAAGTGTGATAATAAGGAAGAAGTAAAGTGAACAAATATTTTAAGTATAGACGATGAAAAACTTCGATCGAACGGGAAAAAGTATTTACTTCTATAAAAGATTAGTGAAGCACTTAACCGATACATTCGAAAGGAAAGTTAAGAAGATTAAATGCGGCAGTCCGAAAAGCTAAACAATTGAAGGGTTGCGATGGCGCGGAAGAAGCTATTCCTCAATATAGCTATGATGGAAGATATAACGAGAATATCAGAAGTTCAAAGCTTTTTGGGTGATTAAAAACCTATAGAAAATATAAAGCTCTGAACGGTTTTCCTTCCATCTAACATTTTATTGTAGTCGACATTATTTTAATTGAATTCAATTGAACGTATTTTTAAATTGTAATAATAATTTTCAATGGAAAAATGTTGAAATTATACCAATCTTCAAATTCATTGGATTTTGAGGCCCCCGACATAAATATGGAATGGGGCCCTCAGTATGGAGGTAACAATGAAAGTAAAATATGTGTGAGGGGTGGTAACTTTAAAAAAATAAGTGGGGGCGACATCCACAAAATCTGTTTTCATGATTAAAAAATATGAGCGAAGTAAATTCTGGAGGTTTCATCATTCATGAGATATAAAAAGCCCTTGGGCCGAAATTAAGTTTTTGTTGTTGTTTATTATTTTTTAAATTTGAATATGAAAATAAAATAAAATAATAATAATAATAATTTTTGAAACAATAAAAAATACAAAATAAAACTTTAATACAATAAAAAAATCAACTGATCATAGATTATTCTGCCCTTATACAATTCTTCTTTAATTGAAATTTGGTTTTTAAATTCATAATCAAAATGCTTATTTTGGATTGTATACATTAATTATGGATACAATATGTTCAATTTTATTTTTTATTAGAAAAAATATTGGTAGTCATACCTCGATTAAAGAAAGAATCAAATTGATAAACTTTCCCAGTCGATGTTTACCAATATTATGAACAGATAATTTACTTAAACTAATGGTTTATAAACATTAGTATGTGTCTCTCCAATCTATTTTCGCATCTGCTATCTTCATGTATTTGTATATTGTTAATGAACCACTGTGTTCTGATAATATTTCTTAGACATTTTGATTGAAATTTTTGGATAATTCGTATATTTGATTAGATATTTTGATATAAATCTTTGGATAACTTGTTAGCTGGAATACCGCATGTTCATACTGGTTTGAGTATTTACCTTGATTGCTTAACAATAATACTTCTTTCCTAAGTCGAACGTTAGAATTATACTGGAATATTTTTATGTAATGATTTTTGAAATTGCGAACTTTGTTATATCGAAGCTACGTAATCAGAGGTAACGTTAACCGAGATATGGCTGTATTTCATAAAAAGCAAACTAATGTCTCTTATAACGCGATATACGAAAACTGTGTACCGTAAGAAACTAAGATTTATATAAACCAGATTAATTTGTGTTATATTAAGGCGATCAACTAATTCTTGAAACTGAACATTGTCATCATTAACAACATATTTCAAATTGTTTTATTATAATTGCAAGTGTAGAAGAAATAAATTCCTATTATATTTTGCATATTAAAAAAGTCCACTGCAAGCAATTTAACTCGGCAAAGTTTTACGACTGTTCCGCAACAGTGGAACCTCGAATAACGAGCAAAACAAATTATAAGAAAAATAACTCGCTTAACGAGTGACGATGTGAAGAGAAGTCCCGGATTGTTCCAAACTTAGATATATTATGTATGTTTTTTTTGTTTAATTATCCCTGCAAAAATGTCCAAATCCAAAGATGAAGATGATTCACGCTCTTAAGAATGTACAAATAATTTTCTTAGAATAAACGTTACCCATCATTTTTCTTGAATATTTTTTTTTGTATGGAACGCATTTTCGTATTTTACATTATTTTGTATGGGAAATATTGTTTCGCTTAAGTACTTCGCATTATGAGTAATACAGTGGAACCTCGCGCTCCAAAATTTCCGGATTTATACTCGTATAGCGAAACATTTTCAAAAATACACATAATATTTACACAAGTTTTAAAAATGATGTAGCAGGCGCGCAATCCGGGACTTATCTTCTCATCGTCACTCGTTATGCGAAACGTAGCTCGTTAAGCGAGGTTCCACTGTATTTGTTTTTTAGGTGGACATTTAAATTGCATATCTTCATTTTCAATTACAGTTTTACTTTGTAATAAGAATCTCTGCTCACTGCGAACTTTTGAAGGATAATTTTCCATTGAAATAAAGATCTAATCATCGTCCAAATCTACTTCCCTTTTCATATCATTTAAATTGTAAAATTTATTGAAAAAGCATAAAAAAAGAAACAGGGTAATTCTACAATATTGAACCATAACAAAAAATAATTCTATAGGCTTACTTAAGATGTATTATGTAGAAACCGTGTTATAAGAATACCGCATTATAAGAGCGTTTCCCATATATGTATAATATTTACAAAATATTTCCACATTGGAAAGTTTCTACGACTAATTAATATGTAACTATTTTTAATAGTTTAAATCAGACCCATGTTTTTTTGGTTTTGGGTAGACCCCCTACTTACCAGATATTGATTTTTTGTAAATTATATTGGGTCATTTTTATAATTATTAAGATCTTTGCTCTGAGACTGCGCGTATGCTTGTAACAAGATGATACTAGTATATCATTATGTGTAGGTTTTTACAAGTTCAAAATGTATTGCGACCACAAAACGAATGCCTACATCCTACAACTTACACAATTTTATAAACATATATAATATTTTTTTTTACTTCATAGGTAGTTTTATAAATAATGTATATGTCTATCATAGGTACTATTAGTGTATATTGAGATCCACTATCGTGGACCCCCATTTTCATTTCATGGACCCCCTTTTTTTCGCTGACGTAGACCCCTTGCAGGTTGTCATAGACCCCTGGGGGTCGATATAGACCACTTTGGGAATCACTGGTTTAAATGTTGAATTATATTATTATGTTTACAATGACACCGACTTTGTTTTTAGTCTTTACCACAAACCATAGTATTCCACATTGACAGTACTAACACATAAAATAAGTGTGTTGTTCTGGTCAATAGCTCTTTGCAGTTTTTGCAGTCAATCTTTTTTATTTGATTATCACTATTGAATGGAAATGATTATGTGTTGCAATTTTTTTTATTAATTTGCCTTTATTTTTTGTAGTTAAATGTTAAAAGAACGTATTTGTCAAGTCTATTATAAATATATTTATAATACAACAAAATATTTCCATTACTAGTTTGTATGTGTTTGTACAATCTAATGCAGGGGTTGGCAAACTGTAACTCTGAAGTAAAAATTAAAATAAAACTCTCAATTTTCAATTTTTTAATGGATTTTCCGTCTCAATAGATTAATGTTTCTCCACATTGTTTTTAAATTGTTGTGAAGGATAGAGTTTGCTCTTCTGTCTTAAAAGTTTACCGAGTCCAGCAGAAGATACTACATTCTTGAGAATTAAAAGTTGAGTAATCGATTGTTTACTGAAAGACCAAGCCAACATTATTAATGAAAAAATAGTAAAATAAAGTATTTGTATACGATTTTCTCTATAATTAATGTTATTTTTTTGGTAATCAATTGTAATCAATTGTTTGTAAACTCGTTTTACTAACAAATCTATTTATAATTTTGAGAAAAACAAATGTGATAATTTAAAAAAAAATAATACATTCGATGTCGGATGTAAACACGAAACTTTAAACTATTAATAATTAAAAAGAATGAATTCACTTTGAAGTTAAGGTGAGGTGAGGAAATCGTTGGTGATGTGTTGCAATTTATAGAAATGAGTAGAGGAAAGTGACTCAACCAGTGGATAGATGACGGTAATTGCGTAAATAAATGCATTTTGGCGTACAATTCTTGTTTACGTTATAACCTTAAGGTAAACAGTTGGAACTAAATTTCTCACACTGTTCAAAATTGCTTAAAACCATTAGAAGCATACATTTTATTATTAGACACTTCATATTAATCGAAAGTTCGGTACGTTAACAATTAGACAATACAGTGCCTTTGTATACTTTGGAACGTTAAATGTTTGGTATCAATTGTTCGGAATTCGACTCGTGTGAGTGGAAATCTTTGCCAAATGATGATACATTTTCTGGATTGACCAAATAATGTTACATTTGCGAAACATCCTGAGTAGAAGCAAAGTTTTTTTAGATTTTCAGTAAACGTCAAACCTGTTTTTCCTGAACCAGATCCAAGTAGGGAAAGAGAAAATCTAAGTTAATTTTTATGAGATGATATACGTCCTATTTGGTATACGTTCAAGGATCTGGAACGGATTAAGAACATATACCGAGGTACTACTGTATATTTATATTCGCGTGAGTTAAACGCGCTGTAAGTACATATTTTAAATTACGCGATATTTGGCGAGTATTTAATCTCCGACTTAATAAGTTGGCTAATTTTCATTTAGGCACATTTGTATTAAGAAAAATGTTAATACTAAATAAATGGATACATTCTTCCATCATATTAATAATTTTTTAAATTTTTATTTATTAATAAAAATCTCATTACTGATCTATTTTGTCCGTTTAACAAATCTTACTCATTCTTACAATATATAGTCAAATATAACTTATTTCTACTGTCATCTTCTTACTCAATATTGATATGGATTAATAGCTTTAATGCTATTCGTGTTAATGTTATTGTTGTTCGTGCTGGCGTCTATTCTGCAAACTACTTGTATTCAATGACATAATGATGAAAATGTATACATATGATTACTATCATCCAGTTTAATACTGATCTATTTGTATAGTAAACAAATTTTAATCAATCGCACATAGTCAAAAATAAGTACTAAAAAAAGTACATAAAAACAGTTGCGGTTTCCGCAATAAATCGTCTCAAATCGAAAGTTATATCGATAATTATTATTATTGATAGTTTGTACAATAAATAAGACAATTTTTAAGATTAGTTAGTTAAAATACCTTTTTAAACATAAGAATTGCAAGGCTTCCTGTATTAGATAGTATTTGGTCAGCTTGAAAAGAGTTAAACATTCGTACAATAAACATGACAATAGTTGAGACACCTCTGAAATTCTTTTAAAAATTACAGATATTGTTAATCAAATTAAATTAGTTTTTTTTTTCATTCGTTATGAACACACTTGTTCAGTATGTTAATCACATTAACAATAATATTGAATGTGTCTGATCAGCTTGACAAGACTTAATCATTCGTGCAAAATACACGACATCAGTTAAATGGAACACTTCTAAAAACTTTCTAACTACAGATTGTTGTTGAACGAATGTTACATATATTAAACGAGTTACTGATGTAAAGTTCTCCCATCATACTGATCTTGACCAGAACTATCAGTATTATTATCATGTCAATAGTAATAGTATTTGTGTTTAGTCAGTTTCGACTTTTTCCTATAATATACACGACATAGTTGATAGTCAGTTAGTTGGGACACCTGTGAAACTTTTCTAAGAAGAGGTTGTTGTAGAACAACAAATGCTACCTGCATAAAATGTATTCATGTAGATTTCTTCAGGCATACTGGCTGACCAAAGACAATCAATATTACTATCATATTAACTGCAATATAATGGTGTTTGATTAGCTTGAGAAGACTTAATCATTTGTACAATAAACATGAAAATATTGAAGATCAGTTACATGAAGCAGCTCTAAAATTCTAACAATTATAGGTTGTTGTTTAACAAAGGCTATCTGCATTAAATAAGTTAATGTTGTAAACTTATTCTGTCATACTGACTGGCCAGAAATTACGCCAACAGTAATATTAATTCCGTTTGGTATTATAAGTAAAATATATATGATTATCAACTATGGTTAGTAGTTGGAACACCTCTGAAAACCTTCTAAGAAATACACATTGTTGTTAATTCGTAGTAGATGAGAAATAAGGAGAAAACATGTTCTACGTCTCCGCGTCCGTCAGATTTGACGTGTGCGTATGAAACGGACGGTCAGGAGGGACGGGCAGGTGACAGATGCGGATGCGCGCGCACCCTCGGTGCTGCCTCAACTTGCCGCTTATTTTTAGTTCTTTGGATCGGGGCGCGGAGTGTGGACGTGTTTACGTGAAAATTACGTGGATCGTTTAGGAAAAGTTTCGCGAGATACGGACGGAACGGAACACGGGCTACGACAGGCACACGGCACCGACCGAAGGAAAGGAATAAGCTCTGCTCTGTGCGGTGCAGTGCAGTAAGTGTGCTTGGTTGGCGGCGTATTTTTCAAGTGTCCCGATCGCCGACGCACGATGTCCCAGCAGCCGCACAGCCCGACGCCCAACAGGCGGCAATCCTCCAGGCAATTGGTAAGCAAACCTCCATCCTCTCTCACCCATCGTATTAACACGCCAACTGAGAGACGCCATTACATCGAAAAATTAGATCACGTCCTCCGTGCACACACATGCATATACATCTACACACTCATATACTAGCACCAACACCGACACAATCGCACGTACCCCGTGTCTGTCCATACTGCAATGGCTCTTACACACAATCTTCTCTTTATTTATTTACTACACACGCATATAGTATTTATCTGTAGGCTAGATAGAGATAGAGAAAAACAAAGATAAAGAGACTAACATCTGACTAATCCACCCGCAATACATGATCATACCTAAATCCTCTATTCCATCACGACATGCAAATGAGAGTCCGAGGAAAGTGCATCGCGCTAATCTTCTCCATCCTAAGCTTGACCAGATCTCGACGCGTTTCTGTTTACTTTTCCTTGTTCATTGCATCAATTATATCGTTTGTTGTCTTTTTTTGTTTTTCCACTTTAGCTGTGCGCACACACAAGTTTTCTATTTATGTAACAATTCCAACGGAGCGCGATGCCATTGTGCCGAATTATATACGCGATATTCAAATTCTTAGCGTGTGTATATTGCCCATATAAACATGTCGATTGTTCTTAAGATTATTGGATTGATGGGCAATAATAGGAAATGCAACCTGTTTTTTGATTTCTGCGTGCGTACGTCATGCGGTTGCTATTGTATGTCAGTTGGTCGGCTACGTGACAATAGCTCCTCGAGATTTGTCTTCAAGAGAAAATCAAGGACGGTGCAACATTTAAACTTTTTTTAAATTGGAAATGATAATAGCTTTTTAGTTGATTTTCTTATGCGCGGATTAAGGATTGTGGATTTGACAGACGAAATGTCAATATACTTAATAAAAAATGTTGCTATTATGTCGTCTTTGCAAGTGATTTACAATATAATTGTTGTGCGTACTTAGTCATTCATCATTTCAATCATTTTATTGTTTATAATTTTCGTATTACAAATATAATTGTATTTGAATTGTTACTTGAGAGATAAGGATTAATAATGAGTTTATGGATTAAGTAGAATATGCTTGCAGTCAATTGTAAGATTTCTAATTTTACGTTTTAGCTTCTTTTTTTTTTCTAACAAGTGAGCTTAATCTGCAAATGACCGTATACTAATGTCATATTACATAATGTCTATTTAGATGAAACTATTAAGCTAGAATCAAAGTTTAACGCATTGATGTATTGATTTGACAGGTTAAATGTCATTTTATATAAGTTGAATTAAGTTTTATAGTTACAATCATGTACGGAATTCTGAATGAAATATCAATAGATTTAATCACGATTGTAGATGTAAACATCTTTAGAAATCAATCTATTGATAAACTACAAATGATTGTACACTTTCATAATTGATTGATGTTACATTTTAATTAGTTTGGTGCACAATTTATTTGTACCAATTATTTTGTTATCAATTTGTTTCAAAGTTATGCAGTTAAAACCAAGGGTTTATGAATTTGATAGTTTAAATGTCAATGCATTTAATAACGATAGCAGACTATATTTATACTCTCTGAAATTACCTGGTGAATTTCTAAGATTATTTTTTAAACTTAATTATTTAATTCAATATGTACATGGTCGTATTCTGTAATAATTAAATAGTATGTAACGTACTTATACAACTTTAATATTACTACAACTTCTAATTTGCTAAATGTTTTATATATGATTATCTTGTAACTTCAAGTTAATTACAATATGCGTCTATTCTTTCGTGCTCGAAGTGTCAAAGCTATTAAATGTGAATTTAGTCGACTGTTGAGATCACTTATAAATTTACGTATGATTTTACGTACTTGAACATCTGCAGGATCAGAACTGACATGCTTATCTAAATACTTGTGGTAACTAATACCAACAATTAATATTAGTAATTATTTTAAGTTTGTATGAAGATCAAGATTTGACTTACATAATTATAAATTTATGAAATTAGTTGCTAAATAGCATTAATTTTTTTTTGTAATGTATACAATTTCCTTATATGAAATATCATTACTTCAGTTAATAAATTGAAGTGGGCAAACCATATATAAATACTTTTGAATTAATATGTTGCACGTTGTTTTCATCATTTTCATATTAGGTTTTTTTTTAACGATATTTCTTTCTGTGTATATAAAATCCGAGGAAATTAAATTCTTACTTCCACATATTTATAGATATGTAATCGATAACTTGTACTTAGTTTAAAAGCAGCGCATAATTGCTTATTTCTACTTTCTTATAAAATATCGCTGAATGCAAAGTTCCAACTCTTCGAATCAATATTAATCATAAAATCGAGTATTCATAATTTCTTGAATTGCGAATTACTTGAAGCGATCAGTACTCAACGCTGGACAAATTTAACAGTTGAAACGTAGTCAATATGCTATGTATTTTATAAGAGGTATTTGGACTCTCGTCTCTAAAACATATACCTTCTTCCGGTCACATGTACGTGTGGTCCTAGAATTGCGCGTATGATTTATTATGCGTATTTACTTTATTGAAGTCATTATTTAGGACTGCGGTAATATTTATATACCCAGTGTGACCATAGTTGTATTTATTGTTTAGTTCTTTATGACATCCAAAAGGCACGTTTTCCAAATCCCTATGGTGATATTGAACCATAACAAGTGGAGATACAGTCACATTTTACATTTATTTTTCAAGCATTGTTCATTTTCATTGTTTTCATGCATATATTTTAAATTATTATTATTAATCAATAACTATGAAAAGTAAAATTATTTTTATGTTCCATTTTTCTATTTTAATACATTAAATTATAAAAATAACATCTTATCACGATCATATACATTTTTATTGAAACTTCAACTAATTTAAGAAAATTTCTATCAATTCGGTAGAAAGCTTTCAACTAATTTCATTACATTTAATTTATCTATTTTTGAAAGTTCCAAGGTTGTTCTATCTTAATTACGTATTAGGAAAGATGAAGCCTATAAATATCTTTATTGATCAAGAAATAAACAAATCTATCTATGTATTATTAAAAAAATATCACTTATTTCACATTAGTTTTCAATTACATTTTTCTTAAGAACAAAAAAACATTTTCAGTTGCCATGAAATATTGAATATAATACTTTTCTAGGAATTAACAATAAAGGTACCGAGGAAGTCATTCATACCTTCTGAACTTTGATATACAATTTCTCAAGGAAGACATTATCACATCCCTATTATCTTTTATGACTTTAACTAAAATTGGCGTGCAATGATTTTTTTCCCTTATGTTTTTATTTTCCTATTGATTCAATAGAGATCAATATTTATTCTTATAAAATTAAAACATCGATACAAAAGATGTTTTATGTAACAAATAGGCTCAATTATACACGTGCATGACTGAGGAAAACGAACGCACCGAAACAGCTGCTGACCGGTCGTTTTTGTATGAAATAAAAGGTTTCAAACGCGGAAATGTACAAGTTTCTGGGAAGTCTCAGATCCTAAAGAATATAATAATGAACATATTATAAAAGGGCAAGTAAAGACATTTTTTTCTGATCATGGATTTACACCAAATAGCATCAATAAATATATTTTCAGATTCAAACTTACCAAAATGTTTGTCAAGGAAGTACAGTGGAACTTCGCTTAACGATAATAATCCATTCCAAAATTTTTCCGATATAAATGAATGTAAAATACAATAATACAAATAATCATTTGGAAAATGATGTAACAAGCGCACAATTCGGGATATTGCGAAAAATCGCTCAATAAGTGATTTGCTCGCATCACTCGATATATGAGGTGCTCGTTAATTGATCTTCCACTGTAATTGTAAAAAAAACTATGAAAATATGTGTGCCTAAAATGTACATTTAAGAACTTAATAATTTATAAGAAATGTAGTAAACAAATAGGGTATCTTTTAGAAATAATGTTTATGTAAGTTTTATAACTGCAAGAAATTGTATAATTGATAATACATTTGGTAGATTAGGTTTACGTGAAGAGTCGGTACCTTTAATGTTAATTAATGTTAATGTTAATTTATACAATAAAATGTGTAAAAAAATTATATTTATAATAATTTCTTATTTATGAATATTAGTTACTTGAAAAACTTCTAAAATACACACATGGAATATTCATAACAGCATATTATCATGAATTCGTTAATTTCTCTATTAACAGTTTATTGTCTCCACAGTTCCATGTATTTTATTTAAATCTTCAATATATAGTCCGAATGAGTGGACGATAACCTTTTCAGAAACCATTCAAATATCTGACTGGATATGTAAACATTTTATAGTGTGTTTAAAATTTAAAAAAAATGGAGATAACGTGTGTCCACAAATAAATAAACATATTCACTCGAATCGACACGAATTAGTACGTACTTCAGAATAATTTGGTAGTTAAACGTGTGTTTTGATACATATATATCAATATGTGAATTGTTATGTAAATGAAAATAAATGCATTTAATAAATACAAATGAAAATAAATTAATTTAATAAATGCAAATGTGCATTTATTTTAATTTGTGAACTAATTAATAAGTCATACAATCAATCAATGAGTTGTAACTTAATTTGTTTCACCGGAGCTGCCAACTTATTCTGCAAAGTGATCGTGATCTACTCGATCTTTTGAAATGAAGTTAGTTTTTTACTCTCCGTCTTACTAGCGGAATATTTGAAATAAGAAATATTTTTTACCTGTTCTTGATCGATCAAAAATCTCTTCGCTATCGACCAATAAGTTGGCCGCACTTACTCTAGGCTTGATCGGAAAATTCAGTCCATTTATTTTTCGGTGATTTTTAAATTTACCCAGTCATATACATAAAACACATATTAACCAATCACATTTTTATGTCGTGGGATGAGTTGATTGATTTATAATACAGTTATGAATTGTGAAAGGCGGTGGTACACGAAAGGTACCACTTTTTAAATATGCCTAAGGGGGTGGTGCAAC